TAGTAATTCCTTTTGTGCATAATTTTATATTATTGTTAATAATAAATTAATTAAAGCAACAAAACAACCTGAAGAGCCGGTTCGGAGCCGAAAGAGCCGGCTCTTTTTAGTGAGCCCAACCGAAACCTCTAGTGGAGCTGGGTGGTCTAATACTCACATAAAAATGTGTTTATACACACAGGTGTTAAACTTATGTTGTTGACCTTCATTCCCTTGATCTAAAATAGCAACGTGACACACATGGGAAGTCCAGACTAGTATATTTTTTGAAACAAGTTTAACAGCCTGGTTTTAAAGGCTAAAATGTTTGCTAATGCAGGCAACATTAACAACTGATAACAACTCTAGGCTACTTGTTGTCCAACAACTGCCGAGGAAAGTTCTGGTTGTAGCTGCTAAATGTTACACGTTGATCAGTCCTTAGCTCTTAGCTACTACTCTGGTCAAGCTAATGGCTACATAGCCTTTAGCTAAGTAGCTAATGGCAACGTTTAGATATGAAGATAATAGCTAGTGTTGTGTCTTCACTGCTTACGAAGAAATCGCCTCGGAGTCTTCATACAGATTCTTTTATTCCGTATATATAGAACAAGCATCCACGCAACTGTAAACTGCTAAGCTAGCACATGAGCACACAGCCGACGTACCTATCTACATCCGGTGATTTCAAAATAAAAGTTCGAACATTACAGCTAGGTAAATGGGGATTAGCTTCCTAGCAAAGGGATAAATTTATCTGCCACTTGAGTAGGGTACATCTGGTTCATCAGAGTTTCCTAGTGACAAGTCTGAAGAGAACAAAAAGAACCTGTTAAACAGTATAGTTATGAAGCATTGCAAAAAATTGTTTAAAAAAATTAAAAAACAATTGTGTATATTAGCTTTTCCTTTCCTTTTGTGCACATATATATATGTCTCTATAACATATTGGGCTATTAGGGTCATTTCAGAACTACAGACAAAGGACATAAATTGTTCAGAATAAAATTAAATAGAAGCTTGCCCACATCTTTATGAATTTTGCAAACTATTTAGGTCATAAATATTCTGTGCAGAAAAAGCAAGCATGCTTTCTTTCTTTCCTAATGATTTCTGTTGGCATTTTAATTCCACAGCTGAATTAGCTGACTAATAGCTTTGTTTATTGTGTTGCCATACAATCAGGCATGAGAAACCATGAATCCGTATTTGCATTATCACCAACAGTATATTCATGAGTGGCTTGTTCTTTGTGTCAAGATATATGAACAGTGAGCCTTACATACAGGCCACTACCAACGTATTATGGAAATATTATACACTGATATTATAAAATGATCCAGTTTAATAATTAACTGTATTTTAATTTGAAACTATTCATAAACGATTGCTGCTATAGGTATTTATTATATAGCTCAAAATACCTTTTCATAAATCTGAACAACTAAAATGTTTATTATGTCATTAAAGCAAATTTCCTTAGTATAAAAAATCTGCTGTGTTAAGCTATTGTGGTGGGACTGGTTTACACTAACGTGCAAGTAGTTATGGAAGTAGTTTTCTTGTGAGCCAAACTGTGTTGCTCTAGCTGTTTTAATACAGGTTGAGGTAGTTTATACACTGGGTGCAGTCTTTTTCCTCTGTGTGTATCCTATTCTCTTAGGGTGTCTATGTAACCTCGGACTGCAGAACTCTGATCCTTACTGCAAGATGACATCAGAAACATTGCACGAACTGCCGCTCAACGTCTACATAATCATCCTGGGCATCGGCCTCTTCATCCTCATGCTCAGCCTCATCTTCTGCTGCTACCTGTTCAGGTACAGGACAAAAGGCAGTGCAACTTTAGAGCTCCTGCATCAGATAGCTCTACAAAACTCTTATATTTGTGTGTTTCTATGAACTAGTCACCATTTAGTCATGTGCATTAATTCATTCTAAGTCTGTCAGACTCTCAGCGGAATTGGTCTCTAATTCCAAATAGTAAATGGGTCTTTCTCTTTTAATAAATATCATAAAATCTGTTGTTAAGTAGACAGAATTGTACACCTAACTTACAAATACAAATAACAAAAGAATCAAAAATAGTTCCAAGACATATTTAATCCTCCATTCACTTGTACAGGATTTTTTTTTTACCTATATTGGAGTGTGTTACAAAACAAAACATCTTATTTCTCAGTTTCTTGCAACTGTGTTTCATCCACAGCCAGACTCATTTCTTCGTATCATCTTTTATCATTTGGCATTCATATGGGAGTTGAAATGAGTCACATGAAACTATCAGTCCAGCTGAAACAAGCTAAATTATATTATGGGGTGGGTTCACATGAGCAGATCTTAATGGCTGACTCTGAACATTAGGAGATAGTATTTTCCGCTGTCATTGCATTATGTGGAAATACATGGAACATTGTTGTTTGACAAAATGAAGTGCTGACAGAACAGGGTTAGGACAGGGTGCTGCTTTCAAGCGCTAGCATTCCTGGAAAAAGTCAGTGTAAATGGATTGATGAAGTCATGTTTCATCAGTCATATTGTGGTTTCACTAGCAAAGGTGTAGCGAAGATACCCTGGAGACAAAGGTGCTTTTACTTATCCTTCAAATTTAGTAAGGGATTGGTGAACTAGCTATTTGCTTGTTCCCCAAACCCAAAATAATGCTAATCTATTTATGCTTTACACAGCTTGTGATCAGTGCAGTAAAACTGAATTTCAGCCAGATTTTTTTCCTACAAGCGCACATTCCTGACAGAGTTACAGTTCTGCTCAGTACAAGAGTGGATGGACAGGCTGATACATGAATTTCACGTTGTGTGAATTCCAGGCCTGCTCAAAGTACTATCCCAGCTGATTCCTACAGCATGACAAGACTTGTAATGGTGAAGACAGATATGGAAGCATCAGACATAGTTTAGAGCTTTCATGCATCTAAATAATAATATGTTTCTTATTTGTGCTTCACAGACTGAGGCGACGAGGTGCTAGAGGGCAGTACGGCTACAACGAGGTAATATATTGATATTGTGACCAATATGACAAGTGCCAAATTGTAATCCAGTTACACTTGCGCTTTTTCTAGAGAACTGCCATTTATATGTATATATTTTACACAAATCCCTTCTTCTCAACAGGTTGTTTTAAAAGGAGCGGAGAAGAAACTGAGCCTACTTGGTGTAAGTTAAAGGGGCAAACTGGGTTGGCTGAGATGAACAGGAACCAGAGCCAGTGTTAACTATTTAAAAGATATTTGTTATACATCCTTTTTGTTAAGTGATTTAAAATGTGAAAAGCAAAACTAAATAAAGGGATTAAATGGAAGCCTAATTTACTGCTGAGCTGTAGTAAATCTATAATTCAACCAAAGAAATAGGGAACCATTGTTTGGTGTGACTGCAGCGTAAATATAGGATAGGATCAGATAAGTGTAAACTTCATCCTACTCCTTTGACTCTTATGACAAAACGCCATCATATTTTTAAAGGTCAAATAAGAGGAGACCATGTAAAAGCATTATACATTATGTAAAACCTGCCAGTTACTTTTAGAACTACTTTTTTAACCATTAGCTGCTGGTTTTGAGGTTTAGCTAGCTACAGCAATTACAGTCATGTGAAAGTTTTCACTCAGAGTAATCTAGGCAGTCCTGTGAAAAACTAAGTACACCTGTACTGCTTTATTGAAATGATGACAGTAAATAACAGCCACATTTTAAATAGACTCTAAAGTCTAGCATTTACCCAGTATATATGAAGGGAAGGTTTTTTATGATAGTCAGATAGTCACCTGTCTGATGCCATACTCATCAGCGAATGTTACAAGTCATCAGATGTAACTAGCAGATTTTGTTGAATATGATGCAAACTTCTACAACAAAAAAGAAGTGGCAGTATGTTCTTAGAAAGAATTTTTGTCTTCTTTGCTAGAGTTATTTTTCGTTTTCCCACAGGAGGGAACTATGGTGTGAACTAACACAATGATTTTTGGGGTCATAATTGGATAAAAATGGCAAAAATTGTCAGATATGGCTGAAAAAAGTATGCCAATCTATGGATTTGGCATCTAGATTTAGATTAATCAAAAGTGAAACATACAAACTGCTGAAATAGCAGTGAAATAAAACAGGTGCATAGTTGGCCCATACATAGCAATTTACAATCTGGTAACATGCACAATTGATTGGAGTTTTATTTTCAAGTTCGACGTGACAAATTTCAGTCTACTTTTCAGCGTTGTCATCCCGCTTTCTCCTACACAAAAACAGTTTTTGCCTCACATTTGGCTTTTAGTGATCTGGTCAGTCTACAGGGCCTGGGCACTTTGCAGTCACTGAGTCAGCCATAAACTCCTTTGTATACTAAAGTATTCTGAGTCAAATATGCCATCTGTCTGACAGATAAAGCTTGACCCAAACTGGGTCATAAAACAGGTCAGTGATCCCAGGTACAGATGCAAATCTACAACCCGCATGGGTAAAAAAAGAAAAGAATCAAAGTTACCCAGTCAAAGACCTCAACCCAGCTGACACGCTGTGACAGGACCTTTGTGCATAAACAAATGCCCACAAAACTCAGTGAACTGAAGCCACATTGTATAGGAGCCACTGATAAAGTCCTGCAGACTTTACTTTAAGTTATGGCTGTTACAGGTGCTCCACGGGCATGGCTTCATGACTGTAGCTACCACTTTGTGCTAGATGTTATGTATTTATAATTCATTATTTTAGCAGTTTGATACATCATAATAAGCGTAACTAGATTTTGGAAAAGTAAAGCAATCGAATAACTGATTAAATGCCAAAATTGGTATTGTGGTTATTCACCCAAGAGAAACAGGCGAGGTACTCACTGCTAGCAATAAATGTGTGCTTCAGGAGCTTCAGGAAGATCTCTGAAAAATTATAGTAACTGCTATATCTTAATGTAACTTTTAAGCTACCAATGAGCGAATGAAAAGATGGTCTCTATTGTGAAATCACACCCAGATGTTACACAATAAGTGTAAAAAAAAAAAAGGTAGTCGTTTTGAATTTTGAATTAAACCGTCATTTGGCCTTTTCAGCAAACATGTGCGGTGTGCTTGGAAGAGTTTCGCAGCAGGGACGAGCTTGGAGTGTGCCCGTGTTCCCATGCTTTTCACAAAAAGTAAGTTGTTTAGTACATCATTCCATGGTAATTATCAAACCTTCATGAGAGCAAACAACTGACTCCATGTTACGAAAACTCCAAACTCAAAACATGTTTCATTTGTTTTAGTGGTTTCACAAACTTGTAATCATGCACCTCAGCTGACATTCGTCTTTTTTAAAGCTTAAAAGTTTTAGTGAAATGTGCAAGGATCTCGACCAGCTGGAGAAACGACATGTGCAAATTTCTTGCTGGTCTCTGCCTTCAATTAGCAGCTGACGCAATCACTGAGGCCGTAAAATTTGGAAAAAGATGCCCAGCAACGCTCGCAGGAAATGACTACCAGATTTCTAAGAACTCTTGACCATGCATGTTTGAACAGGAGGACCTTTGTAACTGAGCCTTGAATTTACCCTGCAGCTTAGGTGTGACAATAACAGCAGCAGTTTTAGACCAGCTTCTGGAATGTACATGCTGTTTACAAAGTGTGTGAGCTGTCACTGTTCCTGTATTTCTCTTTTGTCGTGTTTTTAACCACTAAACCATCACTGGGTCGCCAGGGATCTTTTTTGGGGCAGGGTAGGTTCAGTTCATATTGACCCTTTTATATAGACTTTTCACCTACTTGGTGTATTCAGGTTTAAATCTTAAAATAGGAAAGCTGAAAGGCCAAAATCCATGTAAAGGAGCGGAGTTAAAAGGTAACATGATCTTGCTTCTGGGACTGTGCTTGTTTAACATGTTGCTAAAATGGAACCTTAAGTATTTCTCTGGTGATCTGATGGATGCTACGTGGTTAAAACTGAACCTTTTCACATAACTTTGCAACTTTGTGTCTTTGCCTCATGTCTATCCACATTTATGCAGGTGTCTGCTAAAATGGTTAGAGATTCGCAGCGTGTGCCCCATGTGCAACAAGCCCATTTGTCGCCTCCAGCCTGACCACCAGCAACCAGTGCCTCAGAGTCTCCTGGAGGTCTGAGAGTGGAGCGTACGTCCAGCAGCACTCCACGGCTCTTCAGTCAATTGACCTGTCACTGTACAGAATCCTGTTCCACAATCTGACACACAGTACTTTTAGTAATGTGAGTATTTATGAGGCAGAGCTCTTCTGAAAGTGGAAATAAATATAGATATGAGAGTAAATAAGGAAAGCCAAAGAACATTCCCGGCAAACTGAATAAGGTGAGAGATTGGAATGGTAATCACATTTAATCTGTATGTACACGGCATTCATGATAGAGTTGCAGTAGGTTGAAATCAACCAAAGGCAGAAAAAAGGAGAAAGTTCAAAAATAACTAGCCATCTCATATGGCTTTCCCATCATTGAATTCACAGAACTCAAACCTCTCTCTCCCACCTGAAGGTCCTGCATGTTCCTGCTTGGAATTCATTTCTTTAGATAAAAGGTGTACACTTGCAATTTAGAGTCTATTAATTTAGTTTGGTGTTATTCTCCCTTTGTGCAGCCATGCACAGCTCCAAGTGCTCTGGGTATGTTTGGATCACCCACTCATGACTAGCTTTGCAGACACAAAACAGACTTTTTTTAAAGTCAAACTAACGCAACCATGATAGCGATGATCATCACTATCGACCATAGCTGGGAATGGCCCAGAGACCAGAAAGCAGTTTCTAGTGGAGGACTTGTTTAAGGCCAAAAAGGCATATGAGGTCAGAAGGTAGCACTAAGTTTTTCAGTTTTGGCTCTCTTCAAGTTTGTCCTCTTTTCCCAGCTGGCATCAAGTGAGGTTTGACTGTTTTGAACAGAGGTGGAAGAGATTCAGTGAGCATGGGCACACCAAGAGTTAGCAATCCAAGTGGAGCAGACGTGGAGGGAGAGGTGCAGCACTTCACAGTGGGATAATCTGGAGTCAGATTTAAATAAAGCTACTTTTTAATGGTGTGGTCACAGAATTATTATTTCACCTCTTGGCGATCAGCTATTCCAGTCTGTGCGGATTGCCTCGCCGATCATGAGCTAGCTTTTTAAAGCCTGAAAACAAAACCCAGAGAAAGTGCAGCAGTCCACTTTCCTCTGCAACTGCTGGATTACCGCGTGCTGGGAGGTTATCGATTTTCTTTTTTTTCATTGTTGCCAAAACGATTTTGTCCACTGTAGCTTTAACACAGTCAAGCCAGATGTGTAAACTAACGGACAAGCGCCTTCAAGATGCATACAATGCAAAGCCCACTAAAAACAGATGAAGTATTTAAGAGACTTTGTAATATAAAAGAGAAAAAGAAACTGGATTTGAAGTGAAAAATGTAGCATCCATGTAGTTTTGTCAAAAAAACAAACAAACAACAAAAACAACAATAACTCAGACCACAAATCATGCTTCCCTTCATCAACCTGTGATGACAAAGTTGTTACGATTCGTGTTTGAAATTCAGTTTGCTGGTTATGGTGGAAGAGTGGGTGCTACGTGTGAACAGTGAAAGTGAAACTTGTCAGACATAAGTCTAAACTTCAGACTTCAAAAGGCTCCAGTTTAATATAGACACAAGTTTTGCTTCAGGTTAATGTTCTCTGGCTCCAGCCGCCAAACTTTTGTGCAATTTAAAGACAGCGTCATCATCAGTGTATGAGCAGGATCATTAGCAGATTGTAGAGATACCAGCTAGTTGTCACTAGTTAACACAAACTTGTTGATCAAGTGGGGTCAGATAATATAGCTTTACTATAACTGAACTAATGAGATTATTTCTGCCTTCAGAGCAGCTCTGCCTCTGAGAAATGTTTGTATGACAAACTCCAGTCTGCTTGTTTTTTTTGTTCTTTTACTTTACCCAAAAATGACATGCAGCTCCTTGCGAACATGATTTGCTTTGATCGTTTGCTACATTTTCATAGAGCCTGAGAAAAAAAGTGCAGTCTCTTGACGATGTTATGAAGAGATCTGAACCTCCTTTGTCTCTGTGTGATGAGACGACAACGATGATGATGATGATGATGAATGCAGAGACTGTAAAGAAAGTGCAAAATGACCCACGGGGCTGATTTAACTTAAGGAAATGGGATTATTTTGAACTAACAAGAGGAAGAGGTGTATTTATTCAGGTGTATCTACTATTTCTCAGTCAGCTCTGTATACTGGGTTGCCAAGCTGAGTGAAGGTAGCCATGTCCCAAATGTCTCGAGTGACTCACCCACTAAAATATACCTGATTTTGATATTTGTTTCTTCTTCTTCTTCTTTAAAAAAAATCATAACAAGGTTTCAGTAAAATATACTGTGAGTCTGTGATGACACAGCACTTTTGCAGGAGTGCTAACATGAACTAATTCATCTTTAAGGCAATCTTAGCTCCCCATGTGTGAAGAGCTACACTTGCTAAAGTAAGAAGGGACTGCAGTGACATGAAAGAGCCTGTCCGAGAACAAGTGAGGTACATCATAATTATAATTCTCTGTGTTCACCATGTTATACAGGTTAAGTACTGTGTAAACTGTAACTATAACAGTTTCTGACTTCTAAAATATATTCAGTACAATCAGCTTTTTGATAAGGTTGTCTGGACCCACGTCTTTTTTTTTGTCTAGATTTGTTACATGTACACAATTAAAACTGTTTATTTCTATGTTGTCATTTTAATATATGAAAGAAAAGCCTGTTGGTACTCTCGCTATATTTTAGCAATTCTGATCTTTTACAATGTGTCCTCATACAGAATAATCACAGTGTTATAACCAATGAGGTGCCACCTTATCAGTGCTATATAAATGTACCCACCAATAATTCTGTGTAAGTTTAAATGCAGTTTGTTGTTATCTTTTTAGCAGTGTCTTTGGTGTTGACAACCTCAGCCTGTTGGTTCGTCTCTCCATCAAACACTTTGAGCTTTGAAGAAACCAGACAATTATTGTACCGCTATGGGATGCTGTAAAAACCATAACTGGTCCCCAGTGGGGATCCAGATTACTTTAAAATTAAAGTATTCACATATCTGTTGACGTTTATCCAGCACCTTCATTCAGTCAAAAATGAAATCTGTGTTACATTTTATGGTTTGTGCCTAAATGTCTGTGTAGGTTCTCAGTCATAAAGTTCATGGTAGACTTAAATGCTTGAAATGAAAGCAGCTGGACCTCTTTTTGGTTTCATCTTTCATCCAAGAGGCTTCTTTGGTTTAATCCAGCAAACTGAAGAAGCCTTAATGGTTTGCAGCCACATATCAAAAGAATTACAGGCTATTTTCATCAGCGTACCTGCTAATCCACTGACATGCTAAACTAAAATAGCAAACATTACTTTTGAAACATCAGTAATGTTAGCATTATTACTGTTAGTTTGCTAGCATACTGACCTCAGCATTCAGCTTCAAAGTTCTGGTGTGCCTGTAATAACAATCTGATTATTTCATATCACCATTTCTGCCTGTATTTATTACAGGAAGTCACGATATACTGAACTCTCAGACAGTCGATTCTGTTCATCTGTAATGTTTTCAGAGGGAGAAACATTTCCTCTCTCATCCAAGTGACTTCTTCTGACTGCAAGCTTCATCAACCTGTCTCAACCCCAACCTAACAGAAACTAGCACCACTGACTAGCATTGCGCCATGAGGTCAGTTTAATGATCAATAATATGAAAACTGTCACGAAAACTGTCACGACCATTGATCAAAAGTCATGAGTGCCTTACAGAGAGAGTTGGAAAATGGCTTTCTTCTGTGTTCTTCTGTGTTGTGCCATCCACTTAGCCGGAGGTTGTTTGGTTTCCAGGAGTTAGAAATCACAGGTCCTCCTGGCTCTTCACCGCATACATTATAATCTGCTTGTGCCGGGGGATCGATCCTTGGGGTGGACCAGTTTATAATGTTTTAATTAGGGGTTTGAAAGCCTGTCTACTGGGGATTAATAACACTAGAAATAATTCCTTGCTGCAGAAAATTTGCATCAAACTACATCTAAGTCTTCTTAACTCATAAACAGAATTTCTGGTCTACTACAGGGTCTTTACAGGGACAAATAAGCGACCGTACAGGTACAAAAATGCACGTCTTACTGCATAAATATGCACAACACAAAAGCAGAGGCAAAAGAAAGCTGTTGCACAGAGTCAGCAAATGTCTGGAAATTCCCTGCTCAGTAGGGGTGCAACGATACTCGTATCGATATTGAACCGTTCGATACAGTGCTTTCGGTTCGGTACGCATATGTATCG